GGAGGTTGACACCTCCCGACCCATCCAGCACGCCGCCAGGGTCGGCGGACTTCCAGCCTTGTGTCAACGAGTCAACCTGAAAGCGGAATCCTGAAGGATGCAGAAGACTCCCTTTTTCAGCTTTGTTTCGAATGTGCCGTGTGAAGACTTTGAGAAGCCTGCGGCCAGTATGCTTCTGGCACCCTGCGCCTTCGTGCGTGCAACAAATGTTGCAGGCAGACAAATTTGAATGCACGGGTGCGGAAGACTTCTGCAACGACAAAGAAAGGCCCCCTTGCTTGAACTGCCGGCTGGATCAGTATTTTGGCGTCGAGCCCCCCGCTTGGCAGGCAATGCAAAAGCATGAAATGGCGGTGTCGAGGCTGTTGCTGATAACGAAATGGATCCATTTCAGGCTTGTGCTGTTGTGCCACCACAAACTGTGCAGATGGTGAGCTGGACTGCGAGCCCAAGGGTGAGGCCGTGAGTCATGGGCGCCGTCAGCGCCGCTTATGTCGTCCTGGTTCCAGGACATCTGTAAACAGCTCGTCGTGGACTGCTCAAAGGAGAAGGCCTGCATTAGAGTTTTTGTTTCGACTTTTGGCGTCCTAGGCCATATGACGGATCGACACTCCTTTCTGGAGTTGTCTTGCAACTTCATCGATTTATTTACAACTGGGTCAGGGGGGGTTGTGCAGAGCTTGCAACTCATGCGTGGAGCGCTCATGTTGCACTGGGGGGCTGCCTGTGGAAGTCTCGTGTGAATGCTGAAAACATGCTTTCACCGTGTCGGTACCTTCATTGTCCACAGCTTTGTGCTAGAATAATCAGTGCGTTGGCTTTAACAGCTGCACAGCAATAATGACACGGTCAGGACAGCTCTCTTGGCACAGACAAGGGAAGAAGTTCCTTTATTCAGGCTCCTTCCATGCATGGCTGGCCAGTGCTTGTTCACGTGTTCAGCAAGCCTTACCTGACCTTACCTCGACACATGTTCAGGTAGGGTCACTGGCTTCGCTTGACGATGTCGTGAGCTTACTCGAGATGGACGAAATTGAAATTTCGATCCGCAGCAGACGCTAGCATCTCTGGAGATGCTGAAGGACACTTCTCCGCGGGCAGTTATCCACAGACACCGTGTGTGCCTCAAACATTCGTTGCTGTGGCGGTATGCGCTTATCTTTGCTCCGTGCTGAACCCTTGTCACCCTTGCTGAGGCAAGAGCATGACCAGCATCGGGGCGTAGCCCCCTTCGTACTGTGGTCGCCGGAGGACTTACATGCACTTATCGTGCAGTAGATATGCAAATGTGCTTGTCGCAGCAAGATGCTTGTACATGTCAATCGGACATGCACCGGAGCCTTAAGATTGGACACTGCTATGGAACATGCTGCCAGCATCAATAAGCATCTGCACAGCGACCTGCATCTTTTGCCAGGACACCATACTGACATACTGTTTCACTCAAGAGCGCAGAGGCAGTGGCAACAGCGTCATCAGTGACAGCGGTAGACTTCAGCGCTGTGCGAAAAGCCAGCGGGCCAGTGGTGCTTGCAAGGTCTGCTTTCGAATTCGACTGGCTGATTTTTTTTCATACCTTAATTGTCTTCGTTTTCGATGTCACTGCTGAGCGCTGACCAGGTACTCAGCGTACCTCGCGCAGGAGGGCTACATGCAATTCGGTTCGCGGAGTCCCCAATCTGTGGTCAGCATGGGCATGCAGCATTTCATGTTGCATACCTTGAGGTATTACGTCCTTCTGGTAAAGCCCCGCCACGCCGAGAAGGTGTCATGCATCGAAGCCGTGGCCGTTTGAATTTGCCTTTGGTGTTTTGCAGGTGGGAAGGATTTTCGATGAGACCAGGAGTGGCCGTCTGGGGCCTAAGTTGCGAGTTGCACGACCCGACCAGCGCAGTGGCTGGCACAGTCGCTTTGACAGTGTTTCGTAGCCGCAAGCCTCGTCTACAGTAGGTCAAGCACCGCGTCGAGCCTGTGCAGTATTACTTGTTTTTGTTAAGGAAGTTTTGCTGAGATAGTTGAGGGTGAAACTGTGACTCTGTTCATGAAAGATGGGGTGCTTGTCCTGGTAGATACGGACCTGCGGCTTGGCAGACCTTTCTGTTCAGTCGCTGACCTGAAGAGTGCGGTTGCTCTGGAGGTTGAGCAGAAGCATTTCACTTCCAGGTCTACATTTGGTCGTGGAGGATTTTTTGCTAGATCACCGGCGCACTTACGAAAGGAGCTGGAAGATGATATTCGAGATCGCTTGCGCTGTCTGCTTTCAGGAAGGGCCGCCGATCAACCTCCTGGCAACACTTCTAGCGTGATCCAGGCTGCAGAAGCATCCTTGATAGGCTTTGCCGAGAAATCCGTCTGCCTTTTATACGGAATGGGAGTGTCTGGAACGCCCTTATTTGTGCCACCACAACGACTAACGCCTGAATGGCTGGAAGCAATGACGGTCTCTTCCCAACCAAGCATCGAGTATTTGTGTGACGGGAAGAAGCTTCCTTGGCTTGATGCCGGAGCAGTCCTTGTGCTCGTGGCTGACACGGCCGCTGACAGAGGCTGGAGTGAACGTTTTGCATTGGCAGCTGCCTGTTTGAGAGAGGCCACCATCGCCACTGCCCATGTCCATCCGTGTCCTATAATTTGGGCCTGCTGCAAGACAGCTGAACATGAGCTGTGCAGCTGTCCTCTCACAGAGCGTTGGCGACATCTGGTCAAGGTCCTGTATGGCGGTTGGTAGGCTTTTCAAGGTGAACGCATTTTTGAGACCCTGGCAGGTGGAAGTGTGGCAGGTGTCCTCACCTCGAGCTCTACAAACCTTGGTTAATCGCACTGCTGCTACCCGACTGTCAGACACGATTTTTCACAGCCCTGTTGCCAAGTCTCCTCATCCCTTTCTGGTTCTCCCTCTCCCTGTCTAGGTGCTTTTTTGTCGGTCGATCTCATTGCCGATTGCAAGGTGCTGGCTTCAGCGACGACACAGGGAGACTCGGATATTTTCGGATAAGTCAAGTCGGATCCCCACGCCGATCCAGGCTTCAAATGCGACGGTTGCACACTGCAGGCCTCCCCGTCCTGATGTTGCGCAAGGACAGCTGCAACAGCATTGAGGCATCACCCTTAGTTTCGACGTGGTCGATGGGATTGACGTGGGGTTGCCACAGTGCCGTTTTTCAGTGTTGTTTAGCACTGAGGAATTGACGGCACCCAGATCTACGTCCTGCAGGTGGGCAGAGAGCATGCAATGCGTGAGCCTGCAGAGCTTGATATCTGAGCCCCTGAGGCTTCCAAGATCTGCTTTGCTGAGCCAAATCGTTGCTTTCAGCAGGGATGCAGAGGTGTTGGCACGATGCCGCGTGGTTGCCTCATCCTGGCGCAAGGCACTGTCTGCAGGACGAGGGGTCAGTCAATTGGAGAAATCTTTGGTGCGCTTTGGTCGGAGTGTCTCGTCCTCGAGACGCTGGGCCTTCTGGCAGCATCTCTTGCGCTTGCACCAGCAGCGAGCGCAGCATGGAGCGGCGAGACGAAGCTCCACGGCGGTTGAAAATTTCTATGAAGAGATGCTTCAGCAGGGAATGGAAGAACCTCGATTTGCAGAAGCTCGTGCAGTCATCGCTGCGGATGTTCCCAGGACGCTGCAGTCTTCCGATGCTCCTCCTTCTCTTCGGCCAGAAAGTGCTGTGAATCCTCTTCCGCTAGAGGAGCGTGTAAAAGCCTTGTCTCGAATCTTAATAGCTCTGGCGGCAGCTTGCCCGTCAGTGGGATACTGCCAAGGCTTGGATATGGCTTGTGGATTTATTTTATCCGTGGCAGAAGAGGCTGCAATCGCCGCTGCTGGAATGGATTTGGAACGAGCGGTTTTTGCATTTCTTCTGGCAGTACTAGAACTTGGCGTGCGGGAGTGGTTTGAACCTCCCCTGCTGGGCCTACGGGCAGCGACCTTTGCCTTCTGGAAGCTGTTGCAGAATGATCTGCCACTGGTGGCGCAGAACTTGGCATCTGAGTGTGTTGGTTGTGAGCTCCTCGTACTGCCGTGGTTGCAGACCTTGTTTTGTGGTGTGCGCTGGATGCCACGGGATGTGCTCAGCCGAATTTGGGAGGCTTGGCTCCAGGATGGAACGCCCAAGGTGCTTTTTCGAACGGCTCTGATGCTTTTCCAGCAGTCGGCTGACTCTCTCTCCCAGTCCTGCTTGGAGGACATTTCGCAACAACTCAAGCAATGCCCACCTGGCCTGAGCTGTAACCCTGCGACTTTCTTAGAACTTGCCTGGCGCACAAAAGTGACCAGCAGAGTGTTGAGCTCCCTCGTGGCGGAGGCGAATGAAAGGCTTTGCGAAAATTCCGGTGCCTTACAGAATCAGGGTGTTCGAGGGCATTTAGCCGGGGACATGTAAGGTATGGGGCACGTACGAGCGCGCGCACACAGACACAGACGCAGACGCAGACACAGACACAGACACAGACACACAGACACAGACACACACACACAGACACACAGACACAGACACACAGACACAGACACACACACAGACACAGACAGACAGACAGACAGACAGACAGACAGACAGACAGACAGA